TATAAACAAGAGATTTTTGCAATTTTGTGATTATATAATCAGTGCACTAAAATTTTCGCGGAATTGTGAAAAACACCAACTCGAGTTAGGATTCTCGAGATTCAACTCAAAAGGTCCTAAAACATGTATACCATCTGATATTCAAATAAGCTGCTTTTCAAATTAAGAACATAAAATGTTGTTATGTCAATAGGAGAACAGTTACCAAACCGTATGAATGATATATAGAGAATAATACTCATATTGGCGCGCCTCTCTTTTAGTGTTCAACTCGATATCTCTCTCACACGCGCGCCGTGCACAAGGCAGCGAACGACAGAGACGTTAACTTGACCTGACGAGATGAGAAATTCCATATCTACAAACAACCATGTATTATTTTGTTTATTACAAATAAAAATACAAATAACGACGTTTTTGGCGATTTTCTAAAGATTTTCGAGCACTTTCCGAAGATTTTCGAAGATATCTAAAAGTTGTCCAAAAGCCACACGAACGTTCCGAACATTTTGCGAAGACGTCCGAAGATAAATCTATGTAAAACACCGCAGTTTATATACCGCATTTAAGTCTCGCATCCTCACGAACGTTTAGTTTGCCTTGGGATCACGACAGAACACACTTAGTTTGTTTTTTGTTTTCATCACGTGCGTGTTCCTTTCGTCAACCTTTTGGAGGCTTTCTTACCTCGTATGGCACAATATACAGTCTAGCTAAACCATGGAACTTTATGACGGAAATAATGAAAACAATATGGCTATCTTTATAGTTTCGAGTTTTCCCATTCTTATTTATTCATTTCAGGGATGCCTCATGACAGGCTGTCTCAATGGTGGCTCTTGTGAGATGGACGAAGTGAAGGAAACATTTACATGTTCGTGCCCGATTCCTTGGACTGGAGAAAAATGCGAAATTAAAATTGGTAAGAAAAAGGCATCCACTGCAAATAGAAACGAGCTAGCTGCATGGATACATAGGCGTCTCGTTTCACGCTGGTTTGGTCTTCTTTGGCTTCGCTAAAATAGGATAGGGACGTTGATTGCGTTTCATTCTAGAAAAAGTTCGTATTACAAGAGCAAACATCATGACTACTTTCAAGCAAGTATCCCCCTTCACTCCACCCTCCTTTCCAAACAACATCAGACTAATGTTGTAGCACGTGATGTGAATTCGAAGAAGTTCTTTTCGGAAGGGAAACCCAACATTGAAGAGGAGGAGAAGGGAGGAGGGGTCAAATCAACGAGGATCCCTTCATTTTTTTTCTTTAATTCGAAATTATAATTACCAGTGTTAGTTTTCACATTCTCCCCCATCAGTATTGTTCGTTTCATCACCAAAATGGATTAAGCTGTGAACACTAAGAAACCTACTCGTTATTACCTTAATTTTTGAATCTCTTTTCTCAGACCCTCCTTCGTGCAACGAGGCCCAGAAGATGGAAAACCAAAGATTAGCGGATGGAGAATATCTGCTAAGAATTGGAAGCGAAACATTCAAGGTAAGTAAGATGAAGACACTATCACAACATCGATCAGTTGTATGTGGGTGTGTTTTTGCTAGGAGCTTTTTACTCTCAAAGTTCCTTTCTCTACGTTAGCTAGGTATGCAGGCTTTTGCTACTCGTCCTTCTGCCATGATTTTCTGTTGTTCCCCGGTGATTTTCTCAACATGTGACCTATCATCTATGCCCCATTCTTATGCTTTGCTAATACAGCCTTTGAGTCTGACCATTGATGACTTTTGCTGGGTTGCTGCCGTCGAAATGGAGGTACCGGGCATCTAGACTTTTTAACTTCTGTGCAGCACAATCTTCATTCAATTAACTTAGCCAATGAACACGTTCTTTTAAAAATACCCTATCGGCAAACTGAGCTGTCCTTGGAGGATCAAACATGTTCAGGGTTAAGTTAATCCAAACATTTTCACGCGACTTTCACAAAGTTCTTGAAGCAACAAATAGAAGCTTAAGTTTAGAGAACGACTGAGAAACCCAAACAAGATCTTTCGTGGGGGACTCAGACCAAGCCCAGTAGATGAACCCAAACAGGACCATCGATGAGATGTTATTCGGAGCTTTTAAGCTCTCTCGATAAACTAAGATAAACAACTTAAGTCACAAGACTCTCTGTGTGGGCAGTCGGGCACTAGAATCACAAGACTGACGTGGTAACTACAAAATGATAATTAAGCAATAGACCACAAGTTTTTATGGTTTATAGCTTTATAAACCACGCGGGATGTTGGAAGAACACTAGAAGAATTCGTAAATCACAAGCCGCAGGCGAGTGATTTACGAATTCTTCTTTTGCCTCTAAAC